GAAATAACAGTACATAACAGTAACTAACAATAACTAACAGTAATTAACAATAAATAACTGTAAATAACAGTAAATAATAGTAACTTATGGTAAATAACAGTAAATAACAGTAAATAACTAACAATAACTAACAGTAATTAACAGTAAATAACTAACAGTAAATAACAGTAACTAACAGTAAATAACTAACAGTAATTAACAATAAATAACTAACAGTAAATAACAGTAAATAATAGTAACTTACGGTAAATAACAGTAAATAACAGTAAATAACTAACAATAACTAACAGTAATTAACAGTAAATAACTAACAGTAAATAACAGTAAATAATAGTAACTTAAGGTAAATAACTAACAGTAAATAACAGTAAATAACAACAGTAAATAACAAACAGTAAATAACGGTAATCAACAGTAACTAACAGTAACTAACAGTAATTAACAGTAACTAACAGTAACTAACAGTAAATGACGGTAAATAACAGTAAATAACAAACAGTAACTAACAGTAACTAACAGTAATTAACAGTAACTAACAGTAACTAACAGTAAATGACGGTAAATAACAGTAAATAACTAACAGTAACTAACAGTAACTAACAGGAAATAACAGTAAATAACAGTAAATAATTAACAGTAACTAACAGGAAATAACAGTACATAACAGTAACTAACAATAACTAACAGTAATTAACAGTAAATAACTAACAGTAAATAACAGTAAATAATAGTAACTTAAGGTAAATAACTAACAGTAAATAACAGTAAATAACTAACAGTAACTAACCGTAACTAACAGGAAATAACAGTACATAACAGTAACTAACAATAACTAACAGTAATTAACAGTAAATAACTAACAGTAAATAACTAACAGTAAATAATGGTAAATAACAGTAAATAACTAACAGTAACTAACTGTAACTAACAGTAATTAACAGTAATTAACAGTAATTAACAGTAATTATCAGTAACTAAAAGTAACTAACAGTAACTAACAGTAATTAACAGTAACTAACAGTAATTAACAGTAGCTAACAGTAACTAATAATTAACAGTAATTAACAGTAACTATCAGTAACTATCAGTAACTAACAGTAACTAACAGTAACTAACAGTAAATGACGTAAATAACAGTAAATAACTAACAGTAACTAACTGTAACTAACAGTAATTAACAGTAATTAACAGTAATTATCAGTAACTAAAACTAACTAACAGTAACTAACAGTAACTAACAGTAATTAACAGTACATAACAGTAATTAACAGTAACTAACAGTAACTAACAGTAACTAACAGTAATTAACAGTAACTAACAGTAACTAACAGTAACTAACAGTAATTAACAGTAATTAACAGTAACTAACAGTAACTAACAGTAACTAACAGTAACTAACAGTATCTAAC